CTATACAGTGGAAAAACCAAACTAAAGAAAATGAAGTTGGAACTTCTTTCTCTCATGAGTCTGCATATAGTGTTGGCAAATTTAATGCTTTTAAATCAACAGCCAAGAATTTTAGTCCATCAACAAATTCAATGAAAAGTGTACTCATTCAAATTCCTCTTCACCTGTTGACAAACTTAATCAAAAGCCTCGTCTAACCAAACTGACACGAATGCACATGGATAAGAAGAGTGAGTTTTTGAAAGCATTGAAAGGGACAGAGTAGAAGAGGAACGTGAGGATGAAAGCCATGCCAGCTCAGAGAAGGATGAAGACTCAGTCACTTCGCGTAACAGCAACAGTACCATCAAGAAGGGACAGAAACAGAAACTGATGAAAATGAGATCCCACAAGACAATGGCAGCACCTCAGTAATTTCCCAACAGATCATTCGATCCACAACCTTCCCCCAAACTAGTGTTCTTTCCCGTTCACTTGGGGCAGAACCCAGGTTGTGGAAGGAGATGGGCTGGCAGGGGGACAGTGAAAGTGATGAAACCCGTGCTCCCCTCATGAGGGTGAAATGAGAGAATTCCAAGTTTGGACCCTGGAAAAACAGCACTTTTAAACCCACAATTGAGAACGATGACACAGAGTCAAGCAGCACTGACACATCAGATGACAATGATGTGTGAAGGATTTCCTGAAGGCTCCAGAAAGTTTAGTGTGATGCATCTCTCATGCAGTTTGGGGTGAATTGTAAAAATGAAGAACTATGACTTATGTAGTGAAATATCCCGTTTGAAGATGATTTGGAGGGACTTCAATGTGAAGAGTATGGTGTTGGGCTGTGCTGAACATTATTGGTTTGTAAATGAATGTTGCAGAAATGAGCACTTTGGTTGACTTTCTTCATCACTGCAGCATTTCTCTGATTAGCAATGTGATGATGTAACAAATGAGATTTTCTCATTTAATAATAAAAAATTGTGTAATGTTTTGCAAAGAAAAAAAAATTACCCAGTGTGGTGGCACACACTTGTAATCCCAGCATTGCAGAGGCTGAAGCAGGAGGATTGCTGTGAGTTTGAGGCAAGCCCAGGCTACATAGTGAGAACCTGTCTCAAAACCCCCAGAAAATAGGGCTGGGGATTTAGCTCAGTGGTTTCACCGCCTGCTGTGCAAGTGCAAGGACCCGAGTTCGATCCCCAGTACCAAAAAAAAAAAAGGACCTGCACACAAAACCCCAGAAAATTTCCAGATATTTGCAAAGGGGCACTGTGCCTACCTTGTAGGCACAAGGTCCTGAGTTCAATGCCTGGTACAAAACCCAACAAAATAAATAAATAAATAAATGAAAGAAAAAAATCAGACAATCAAAATTTAATTAATTTTTTGCAATTCAAAGACAGTGCTGGGGCCAGGCATTTAGCTCAGTGGTTCCGCCGCCTGCCTCACAAGTACAAGGTCCTGAGTTGGATCTCCGGTACCAAAAAAAAAAAAAAGACAGTGCTAATAAAGTGAAAAGATATCACAGACTTGGGGAAAATGTTTGCAAACATATATCTGATAAAATGCTTTTATCCAAAATGTATAATTAACTCTTACAACCTGATAGTAAGAGTGTAACTATGCCAGCTAAAAGGGCCGACAGAGTCAGGTAGACATTTCTCCAAACAAGATATAACAACAGCCAATAACCACATGAACAGAGAGATGCTCAACATCATAATTCCCAGGGAAATGCAAATTAAATCAGCAGTGAGCTGCTGCTGTGGTCCACACCTGTAATCCCAGCTACTGGAAACCTTGAGGATTGCAAGTTTGAACCTGGGCAATTTAGCCTTTCAAAGGGCCAGGAGAGTAGTTCAAGAGCAGAGCGCATCCCTGGACTGAGCAAGTCCCTGGGATTCAATCCCCAGCACTGGAAAGAAAAACAGTGAGATATATTTACATCTGCAGAATTCCCCGTGCAACCCAGCTGAAGACACAAATTCCCCTAGTGCACATAGAACATTCACCAAGGAAGAAACCCCTCCCAGACAATGCAACAAGTCTCAGTGTATTTAAAGTCACAAAGCATGTTCTCAAGCCATATTAAAAAATGAAATAGGGCCGGGGATTTAGCTCCATTCTGGAGCCTGCCTCACAAGGGCAAGGTCTTGAGTTTGATCCCTGGCACCAAGAAAAAAAAAGTGAACTAAAAATCAATAGTTAAAATACCTGGCAAATCTCCAGCTGGGTGTGCTGTAATCCCAGCACCGGGGAGGCTGAGGGAGGAGGATTACTGCAAATTGGAGCCCAGCCTGGGGTACATAGTGAGTTCTGGACTACATAATGAGACCCTGTCTCAAAAAACCCAGAACATTTCCAGATATTTCCAAAGTAAACAACATACTTCCCAATAACCTATACACATCAAAGAAATCAAATAAAATTAGAAAACACTTTTATCCAATGAAAATAAAAAGGCACTGTGTCAAAATCTGTGAGATCTGCAGCAGTGCTTAACGGAAGCTTTACAAGAAAGTCAACATTTTTGTTCCTACCTCAAAACCTTCCACCCATACTCTGCCTGCATCTTCATGAGGAGCATCAGGCTGTCTCGTGGGTCGGGCGGGGAACTGGGAGTTGTGCTGGGTTCCGTGCCCTTCCCTTCCTTGCTTTGTCTCCTCTGTGTCTCATATCAGGGTCTCACTATGAAGCCCAGGCTGGCCTCGACCCCATGGGGATCCTCCTGCCTCAGCCTCCTGAGAGCTGGGGTCACAGGTGTGTGTCACCACACTGCCTCAATCCTTTTAAATGTAAACTGAGGCATAAACAGAGTGAAACCCCTTCTCAGGTGGGGAGATACCATTTAGTCCACTCCACGTTCAAACAGAGGAGCTGGGCTCCAGGAAAAGTGGTGTGCCAAAGAAACTGCAGCTGTGTGTTGAGGCACCACCCGTTCCTCACTCTGTGCCATTATTCTGTTGTGTTTCTCCAGAGAATGATGTGTGTGAGTGTTCTAAGGTAGAGCAAAGTCCAGGAGTCTAACTCACTCACTGCTGAGCACATCCCTGCACAGTGTCCCCCACAAAGCGCCTGGTTAGGAGATGTTTGTTGAGTGAATTCATGTCAATGTGTGGCCTCCTGGTGTTGAGAAGGTGCAATGTGGGGCATCAGCGAGAAGGCCTCCACTGTGTGGCCCCCATGGGCAGGGACATCCGCACTTATGGCTCCAACCTGCCCTCCTCAAACTGGCTTCCTCTAGAGGACAGGTGGGCAGAGGTGGGTGCTGAGCTCCACCCCTGCAGATTCCCCGCCCAGTCTCCCACTGGGCCAAGATTCTCGGGAAGAACCCTGATTGTTCTGTGTGGGTCATGACACCCCCTGGGCTCAGGGCCCGAGACCAAGGAGGGGCTTTGTCTATGACTGACAGCCCTTTCCAGAGCCAGGAAGTTGAAGGGGGGAAGCAGCCGTCCAGGTGCTGCTCCCAGCGGAGGGAACCCGGCGGTGCACCACCACTCCCGAGGGTGCCTCAGGCCTCCATGTCCTGACCAGAGCCTTTCTGTCTCCCTAGGCCTCCCGGGATCACAGCCCAGGCTGGCTCAGCTGTCAACAGCCGCGGGACACCGAGCGGTCGAAGCCTCCTGTGGCCGCAGAGCCCTGCGAGGCCAGGACCCGCAGGAATGGCCGGGCGAGACGCAGCGAGGGCATGCACACTGGCGAGCTCCCGAAGGGCCGTGGGACGAAGGCTTGAGGGCCGCAGCTGGTAGAGGCAGTGCTGAGCTCCCGTCCCTGGTGTAAATAATCGCCGCGCGGCCGTCTGGGTTCCGGCTGGGCAGCAAGTGTCTCACGGGCCTCCGTGCTCCCCAGCCCGGGCTGCAGGGCAATGGGGCTGCCCTACACCGCGCAGGGCACCGCACGGCCGGTGAGGGGCTGGAGCCTGCGCCGGGGAGGTCCCCGCACGAGAGGCCGCGTGGGAGCTGGCCGCGTGCCCTGCCTGTCCCTGCTCCTCCCGGGCTCCGGGCCGAGGTGGACCCGTCGGGTGCGGCTGTCCGAGGGCAGCGCCCCGCGCTTTGTCCCCGCTGGGGGCTTTTGCAGTGGAGTCTGCGGAAACCTCGTTGCTCTTGGAAATGGTGATGTCACAGGGGGCGGAGCTTCAGCCGTCCTGAGATTTGGAGGGTGGGGGGACAAAGAATTAGGAGCGCGAGACCGCAGGGACAGGGAGGGCCTGGGTTCACTAGCAGAAGGGCTGCAGAGGGCGCAGGAGACGCAAGGCCTAGGCGGGATCGCGGTGCAGGGCCCTGGGCTGGGGGCAGCCGACTTAGGCCCGGGCGGCGGCCCTCGGGTCTTGCTGTCTTCGGAGCTAGTTTGAGTCCCAGGCGCTTCCTACTGCGGAGCAGCCACCTTCCCCAGCTATGCTCCCCCTCGGGGGAGGGAGGGCCCCCGCCAGGCGGCCAGGCAGAGGGGGTCTCGCCCACATTTTTGAGTCCCGGGGAGGGGGAGCCCCAGCCCCCTCACGCCGCCAGAGGCCTGGGCTAGGGCGTCTCCACGCCCCGGGTCTCCTTCCCGGAAGAGTTGGCCGTGGGTGAGGAGGCGCGCACGCGCGCGCACAGGCGCGACACGCACCCCCGCGCGGACCCCGTGGGTACAGGTGTCGCGGTGACGCGGGCCTGGGAACCCCGCACCGCTGGGCTCGGGCGGGTCGCGGACTGCACGCAACGCCCGCCACGCCAAGACCCCTGCAGGCCCGCGCGCGCTCGCGCACAGGCGCGGCGCCCCCGATCACGCGGACGCAGGCGCGCGCCCCTCACTCCGCGTCGGGAAGCGGGGGCGGGGGGGGCGGCGCCCCGATCGCGGCTCCGCAGCTGCCGCAGTCTCCGCAGCGCCGGCCGCGGTCGCGCAGTCGCGAGTCCTCTCCCGGGCTCCCGGTTCAGCACCGCGGACAGCGCCGGGCGCCTGGCCTCGCGCAGCACGCGGCCGGGGGCCAGCACGGAGCGCGCCGCCCCCCCGCCAGGCCCGCGCGGCCCGAGCCCATGAGCACCATGCGCCTGCTGACCCTCGCCCTGCTCTTCTCCTGCTCCTTCGCCCGCGCCGCCTGCGACCCCAAGATCGTCAACATCGGCGCGGTGCTGAGCACGCGCAAGCACGAACAGATGTTCCGTGAGGCCGTGAACCAGGCCAACAAGCGACACGGCTCCTGGAAGATCCAGCTCAACGCCACCTCTGTCACCCACAAGCCCAATGCCATCCAGATGGCCCTGTCGGTGTGCGAGGACCTCATCTCTAGCCAGGTGCCGCCTCCCGCCCCTCCCCGCTCCCTTCTGTCCTCGGCCATCGAGAGGCCACCAAACCCGCCGGCCCCTCCTGGAGGGACTGCGCCCGAGCCCCGGACGGGTCACTGCCCCTGGGCTGGTCCTACAGGGCCTCGGGGCTCAGGCCCCGGCCGGTGTGCGGCGGACACTGGGTGCTGCTCCACCGGGTCAGGCGGGCGGGGACGCATGGGGAGAGGGCACGGTGGCGCTGGCGGCCTGGGGCCTGGGCCATCTTTGTTGCTGCTTCCTTCCCTTCCTCCCTTCCTCCCTCCCTTCCACCATCCACGGATGCCTGAGCTGGAAGCGGCCGGGGAGCTGAAGCAGGGTGCTCTGTGGGGTGGGAGCGGGGACTGTGCGTGGGCGCCGGCGTGCAGCGTGGCAGCCGTGGGCAGCCCCCGCTGCGGGGAGGATGGCGCTCGAGACTGCGCCTGGCAGAGCTGCCTGCCCGGACCAAACCTCCTGCTGCTGAACGCCAGTGCAGCCGGAATCCCTGCACTGCAGCCTCCTGTGAGAGCAGGAGGGGCTGAGCCAGGGCTGTTCACCCACGCCCCCCGGCACAGTGCCCATACCCACACGGGCACCGGCACACCGTCAATCACGGTGCACAACCAGGGACACGCTGCTGGCACACCTGGGTGCACATGCAAACACGTGTGCTCACTCACACTGATTCAATTGTGCACACACAATTACACACGTGTTGGAGCATAGGATATGCACATGCGTGCCTGTATTAGCCTGTGCCTCTTTGCTGGGCACCCTTGGGTGCAGGATGGAGGTGAAAAGCTGAGGGTGGGAGCCCAACAGCCTCGAATGCAGGGACCATGCCAGATTTCTGCTCAAGGGCCGGGGATTTAGCTCAGTGGTTCTGCCGCCTGGCTCGCAAGCACAAGGTCCCAAGTTTGATCCCCGGTACCAAAAAAAAAAAAATAGAGTACAGATTTCTGCTCAAAAACCTCCCACCCAACCTACAAGTAGGCCCGTGGAGCAGGGCTGGGTGAGGCGTGGGTGGTCCACAGCTGTCACATGTTCAGTCTGGGAAGCAGTGGGCTGTGGAGGGAAGGAGTCAACAGTCCAGACAGGGCCCGGGGGTCCCATTCACTCGCTCACCGTGTGCTCGCCCGTGGGCCCAGCCCCTCAGAGCAGCCAGGGCCAGGGCATAGCGATGACTGCAGCTATCCCCAAACACAGCCTCAGGGCCTGTGCTGTCCGACACAGCCCTCAACCCACCACCCCAGGCCCCAGGATAGGAGCTGGCGGGACCCATGGCTGCAGGGGTAGGGTGTGTCCCCCATGTGAGTGTCAGGAACCCCAGCACTGGGCCTTGGGAGCGCTGGAGGGGGGGTTTGTCTCCAGGGAGCTCAGTCCTGGGCCCAGGGTGGGGCATGGCCAGCCCCCAAAGCCAGGCTGTGCCCCATTTCATGCTGTCTGGTGCCCCGGCCCTAGGGACACTAGCAAAGGCCCACAGGCTTCTGTGGTGACCCTGGGCTGGCCTTCTCCCCTCAAGTTCCATGCAGAACTTCAGGCTGCCTGCCTGGGCCTCAGCCCTAGCTTGTACCCCACCACACTCTGGCCCCCAGGGGAGGGACGCAGAGTGGCCTGGGTGCCCAAGTCAGCATGGCACAGAGTCAGCTGTCTCTCAAGCCTCTCCCACTCCACCCCAGAGAAACCTCCCTCCCTCAGGGTCTCCTGACGTGCTGCATGCAGCCCTCCGGGCCCTGCAGGCCTGTGTGGAGAAAAAGCAGTATGTGCCCTCCGGGCCCTTGGCGTCCCACCCAATCAGCCTCTACAGCAGGGTTCTGATCAGAGAATGGTGACAGGGCTGCTCCCTGGCTTCGTGGGTGTCTGTGGCTGTGTGTGCACGCAGGGAGCCACTGGCCCCACCCCCGGGCTGACCCTGTCCCCTGTGTCCACAGGTCTACGCCATCCTAGTTAGCCACCCACCTACCCCCAACGACCACTTCACACCCACCCCGGTCTCCTACACAGCTGGCTTCTACCGCATTCCCGTCTTGGGGCTGACCACCCGCATGTCCATCTACTCCGACAAGGTAAGCCTGACCACAAGACTGGAACCTAGCTGGCTCCCTGTCCCCATGTTGGACCCTGCCCTGGGTGGCCCACAGCCATGGCTAGCTGTCCCACATGGGTCAGGACCAAGCACGGGGTCAGGACAAGACATGGCTGCCCTATAGGAGCACTGGACAGCGCACACACTCAGATAAACTCAGCTACCACACCCTCATCATCCTGCTGGCACTTGCACACATGTCACCAACACTTTAAGCATGCTGGCCTTCACCTCACCCACTTGCATCCACGTGCATGCCCTCACACACATCACCTACACTTGTGCACATGTGTGCCCCATTCATGCCACTCACATGCATGCACACACATGCCCCACACAGATCATCCACACTGATGCACACACATGCCTGCCATATCACCCACATCCATACACACAATGCCCCCATGTGTGAAACACTCATAGACATGCATGCCTACATGTCACCCACACTCATGCACTCACATGACCACACAGGCCAGCCACACTTATGGACATACATTCCCCCATACACATTGCTCACACTCATACACATGCATGCCTCATTTCATACACAAGCATACAAACTCACGCACACCCACATGCACTCAGTCACACACACTCATACACACTCACAAGCACACGTAAGTCCCACGTACCCATCCCACACACTCATATGTGCACATTCACAGCACCTCTCGCAGCAGTGGTGTGTTTGGCCTTCCGAACACATGCACTCGCACACTCCTGGGCAGTGGCCTGCTGATCCTCAGGAGAAGGACAAGGAGAGGGCAGGAAGGCCTCCCCGACAGGCGGACTTTGCAGGGCACTGGGCGCCTGGGTGAGAACTGGTGTCCAAGGTGGAGAGAAGGTGACTCGTGGCAGACGCTCCAGGCCTCAGGGGCTGAGGGCCCTGCATGGCAGCCTGGAGAGCTCTCATGGCCCAAGGCAGCTGGAGGAGCAGAAACTGCAGCCCAGAGAGGCACAGGGACCTGCTCCAGGTCATTAGCCCGTGGGGCCGTGGTTCTGGGAGGACCCACCGGCTGGGAGGCAGCTGGCCACCAAGAGTCCAGAGGGGTGCCACAGCCTGCTCAGGGCCACCTGCAGGCAGATGGGGGCCACTTGACAGGGGACATCAAGTGGGTGCGTGGGCTGAGCCAGGGGCTGGTCTGTGTTTCCAGTTCCCTCTGACCCAAGCCCTGAGCACAGACAAAGCTGCCTTAAGATCCCAGGCATGGTGGGGCATGCCTGTAATCCCGGTCCTCTGAAGACTGAGGCAGGAGGATTATTGTGAGTTAAAGGCTGGACTCAGCAACATAGTGAGTTCAAAACTAGCCTGAATTGCATAGTGAGACCCTGTCTCAGAAAAACCAAACCAAACAATGGGAATCATCAAGGTTGACCCACATGGTGGAGTCACATCTGAGGGGACTCGGGGTAGGGATCTGCCCGGGGGTGAGGGGACAGGGAAGCCAGGCTCCTGCACAGGGCAAGTGAGCCCCCCCTTGGAGGCCCCAGGGAAGGGGCCAGGTGGGGTGGTTCTGGAAGCCGGCAGCCCGGGCACCCAAACTACTCCTCCCAGGCAATCACACCTTGCTCCAACACCCTGATACGCGGAGCTCTCATTCTGGGGCCCTCTGGCTAGCTCCTGACCCCTCCTGGGCACCAGTGTCTTCACATACAGAGGAGAGGAAAAGGGTCCCATGGAGAAAGCCAGCCAGGGGCAAATGAGAGGCCAGGAGAGGCCCAGATGCTGGTCACAGGCCAACACCCCAGGCCTGCCTGAGACCAAACCTCATAGCCACTCTTGGCCTTGGGTCACAGCAATCAGCCAGGCCCTGCACAGCAAGACTCTATCAGAGTCAGTCCAAGACCCGAACTGCAGCCCACCCTGCAGGGTGTCATGGAGGCACCAAGATGAAGCAGGGAAATTAACTGGAGGCCTCAGTGTAGGGTCTAGTGCTCACCTGGAGAGACCCAAGGGCTTCCACTCACTGTGACCACTGAGTGGTGAGGGAGCAAGCAGGCACACAGTAGCCTCTAGACGCTGATGAAGAGACAGAACATTTGGGTCCCATAGTGCAGACTTGGTATTACTGAGCTTTTCATCACTGGGACAAGATACTGACACATATGGGCTGAAGAACAAATGGTTTGGTTCACCGTTTTAGAAAGGTCAGTTCATGGTCATCTGGCTCCAAGGCAGGAACATCGTGGTGGAAGAACGAGGTGAAGAAAAGCTGCTCACCCATGGCAGGGGAGAAGCAGAGAGGGTTGGGAAAGAGCCAGGAAGAAAGGAAGGAGCTGGGGATGGGAATACACCCATCCTGGTCACCCCCAGCCCACATCCTTGAGCTAGGGCCCACCTCCCATCAGCTTATGGAGCTCTGAACTCCACAATGGACCAACCCACTGAGGCGGTATTTGGGAGACCGCTGGTATTCACCATAACAACTTCCTGATAAATAGTTATTGACACACAGGGTGAACTCCACGTGAAGACCCAGTGGGAGAGCTCTTTAAGCCCTCCCTGTCTAGCAAGGGGGCAGACTTCTGGGAGGTGGTGAGCTCCGCCCAGGGACCGTTTCAGACAAGTCCCCACACCTGTGCCGGGGTCCCCACCTCAGCGCTCCCTGAGCCCCTCAGAGCGTCCACCTGAGCTCCTTGCCCCCTCAGAGCGTCCACCTGAGCTCCCTGCCCCC